AGAGAGAGAGAGAGAGAGAGAGAGAGAGAGAGAGAGAGAGAGATTGAATCTAAGACCTCACACATGCTGGGTACGGCTGAGCTGCTTGCTCCAAGTCCAGCTTTTGTGAGCTGTCACCCATACTGGAGTGGGCTCTGATTATGCAGTTTCTTTTGAGTCATTTCTTTTCCTGTAAATAACCCCTCACCCATATTCCTGTAAGTAACCCCAATAAAATTCATCGGTTCACCAAGTTGGATTTTGGTAGTAGTACCCTTACTTTGTTTCCCTATCTGGGGTGAGTGGATGTTTGTTCACATCTCCCCAGGAATAGTGTCATGCAAAGGATTGTTAAATAAAACAGACTTGAAAATAATTGTAAAATTCAACACTTAAAGCAAATGAATTCTATTCTTTTAAATTCTTTTTTTTTTTACATTTAATTTTATTACTTCCATATGTGTGTGTTTTGCCTGCATGTGTGTAAATGCACCCATGTTGTGCAATGCCCTCGGAGTCAGAAGAGGGTGTGGGATTCCCCTGGAACTGGAGTTAAGTTACGTGTGGTTGTTAGCCACCATGTGGTTGCTGGGAATGGAACCTGGGTTCTCGGCAAGAACAGCTAGTGCTCTTGACCACTGAGCCATGTCTCCAGCCCATGAATCAATTCTTGAAACGAGTACTTCCATAAGAGAACTCAGGGGCAGTATCTTTAAAATTCTAGTGATTGCAGGATGTGGTGGCACACACCTTTAATCCTAGCACTTGGGAAGCAGAGGCAGGAGAATCTCAGCCTGGTCTGTATCAAGTTTCAGGTCAGCTAGCCGCTGCTATATAGTAAGACACTGTCTCAAAAAAAACAAAGCCCCCCAAAATTTTAGTGATCAAATGGGGCTGATGAGATGACTCATTGGGTAAAGACACTTGACATCAAGTCTGACAACCTGAATTCAATCCCTGGAATCCACATTGTGAAAGGAGAAAACCATCACAAGTTGTCTTCTGATTTATAAATACACACACACACACACACACACACACACACACACAGTTTAAAAATCCTGATCTTTTATAACACAGGTATGATTTTACTTAACTTTATGAATTAATAGTACCAAAGTATTTAGAACTTTATTTTAGGATTAAGGACCCACTAATTTTCCTAATTGTTATCCTTATAATAGACTGAAAAATTTCTAAAATAGCCCTAGATTCTTAGATTATTAGAGGCTGAGAGATCATTTTTTCCCCCACAGATGATTTTGAAGATCAGAGAAGTTATCTTGTTCCAAATTTCTTGGTCTAACTTTTGGAGCTGATTATCTTACCTGTCTGATACTTTTTTCACAATAGTGCTAACAGCTTTTATCAAGACCGTTTAAGCCTTATTTCACTGTTTAATTAATACATATTCAATACATTAATATTTAAAATATTTTGAATACACACTAATACATAACAATTAGTGGTAAAATCTTATGCTATCTAAAAAACATTGGATGTTACTTGGTTGGGATAAATCATTTTTGCTGAAAGATTTCCTTTTGGGCTTCCTGGGCAGTCAAGAGCAATACATTCTTAAAACCCAAATCATGGGGTTTGAAGCAGTGGTTCAGCAGTTAAGAGTATGGGTTGTTCTTGTAGAGGACCTGGTTTCGGATCCCAGCACCCACATGTTAGCAGTCAACAGTCCACAACTCCAATTCCAGTGGATCCAATGCCCTCTTCTGGCCTCTGTGAATATCGCACATGTGGTACACCTATACATACATGCAGTCAAAACACTCATACACATAAGATAATAATAATAAAATCATGGTATAATTTAATTACTGTTTGTCTTATGGCCCCAAGTGGAGTCCCCCAAATTGTAATAGCCAAAGTAACTTCATTAAAGCAGCCACTTTAAACTTCAAATGCTAGAAAAAGAGCCAGCTTCAAGGTTAAACGCCTGAACTTAGTTGCTTCCGCTTGTAATAGGGCACCTTCTTGACCACAGCTATGCCATGTTAAAGTTTAGGCTGACTCTAGTTTCTGAAATTATCAGGCAGTTGGCCCAGGATATGAGAACACATGCAAACTGGACCCTGGTTGTCTTGGGAACAGGTCAGAGCATCCTAGAGTGCTCCTGCTAACTGCTGATTTATGGCTTCTATAGGTTATGCTTGGCTTGCTTCCGTAAAATAGTAATTATTGATTAACAGAATAGAAATTATTAAGGGGACTGTCCACCTGTATGCTTGGGAACTTAAACTTTTCATTCCTGGTTATAGTTTCTCTGTACAAAAAGTATCCCACAACACTTAGAGGTTCCTAAGATACAATTGCTATACAACAAAACCCCTCTATAGGGAACTTTGTGACCAGTAAAGACAATGTAGAATAACAGTAAGATTGATAATGTCAGAGGAGGAAGTTACTTCTGTGCAGGTGGGGGATTCGGGGGAAAATTGTATTTTCTTATGTATTTCCTTGATAATGTTTGCTCAAGCTTAACGCTCAATGATTGGCTTCTATATTCTTCTTGCTTGCCCAGCAATAAGTTTAATATAAAAGAACCAGAGTGCTTAGGCTCGATGCTGCACTTGGACCCGCTAGGAAAGAGTGTAGCCTGACCGTAATAAATCTTTCTTTCTCTCTTTAGACTCACCTGTCTGTTTGTGTGTTTGGGGCATTTGTGGATCCCAGACTATAACACCCTTTGAAGAGTGCTTTCTTTGGAGTAGCTGACCTTGGGCCTCCCACACACTGTTGCTTCACTTAATCAGAAAGTGCCTTACTGTCAAGGTCTCTAAACCTCTGTCAAGAGAAGGACTAACACAAGCTTGTTTTGGCTTCTGCAGTTTGCTTATCTGCTAACCTGGGTGTCCTGACCATATTCAGGACCACCTGGCATTACGCATGTGTGATGAAATTCCTATGGTATTTATAGTTTTTGCCTTTCAAAGATTCACCCTCCCCTCCACTTGGGAGTCAGAGGCAGGCAGATCTTTGTGAGTTCGAGGCCAGCCTGGTCTACATAGTGAGTTCCAGGACAGCTGGGGCTACAAGGAGACCCTGTCTCAAAAAGACAAAAAAAAAAAAAAAAAAAAAAGATTCACCCTCCCCTCAGGGCCATGGGTCCTAAATCTGACTAAGGGACCATGGACGGCTATAGCCCTAATAAATTTGACCAATTAAAATTTGAATTGAGTCTGGTGGTGTTTTTCCCAGTGGTTTCAAACTCAACATTTGCATATAGTTTTTTATAAACACTAAGTACTTTGTTAAATTTTTAAATTTATTCCTATGAAATTATTTTTTGTTCTTAATCTAACTCATGATATTGTATTACTATATTTTCAATTCCAAATTTACATTACAAAATTGCAGAATAAGAAGCTGGAGGCTACCTGCAAGCCGCCTTCATTGAGTGCTCTGGCTCCATAGGCGATCCTCTTCCCGCCTTCCAGTGTGGGCCGCACGCTGGGATGGTGCTTCCACCTCTGGAACTCTCTAAATGGACTCAGGTAGGGATTCTGATAGTCCAGACCAACCTGAAAACATTTATATATAAATTCAACAGGTAAATAGGCACTTTAATTACATCAACCTAAGATGTGAGCAATATTTCTTGGCAATATGCAATAATACAAATTTAAATAATTATGAGATCTGTCAGGTGTGGTGGCTCATGCCTGAAGTCCCTGGATTCAGGAGGTTGAGGCAGGGCTGCCTCTCATAGTTTCAGGGCAGCCTGGGCTACAGTGTCTCCAAAAACCAAACCAAACCGAACTAAAACCAAAGTTAAAACAGCAATAAACTATGGAATCTGTGAAGAAAAGAATAAACAAAAGGATAATTATGTATTTATAACAAGCAAAAATTTAAAAAACTGAGAGGACATTAACAAATAGTTGTGCTCTAGAAATCAAAATCAAAATTAGAAAAAAGCCTGTAGGTGTCTCCAATTATATTTCCACAAAAGAATAGTGATTATTTATTAATCATTTATCAATATCAACTCTAGAAGCAAGCTACTAATCTATCCTATACTACTATTAGGGTATAAGTGAAGAGAAAGGTTGAAACAGTATTCAGAAAAATAGCAGAAGTATAGAAGGTTACATTAAAAATTATTTTTATTTTATGTCTATGATTGTTTTTCCTGTGTTAAGTACACCATGTACATGTAATACCCATGGAGACCACATGAGGGCATTGGGTCCCCTAAAACTGGAGTTACTGATGATTTTTGAGTGCTGGGAACTAAATTTGAATTCTCTGCAACCAGTACTTTTAGGGGCTAAGCCATGTCTCCAGCCCCTAGGTCACTTTTCCTTTTCTTTTCAAATCTAGGCTCTCCCTGTAGCTCCAGTAGGCCTGGAACTCACTATGTAGATCAGGCTGGCCTTGATCTTACAGAGGTCAGCCTGCCTCTGCCTCTCAAGTTCTGGGATTAAGGATGTGTGTAACCATGCCTGGCTGGAAAGTTTTTTTTAAGGCAGTACCGAAGTGATGATATTAACAGCCACAATTTTTTTCCTTGATGAGACTGAGTCACTAGAATAAGTACCCCAAAGTGATTCACTGAACATCTGACTGGGAGTCAAGTGTTACATACTAACAATGCACACATTTAACAATGTGTCACGTACAGGTCTGATCATGACAGGCAAGGTACAGAAACTTCTATCTAGTTTGCATTCTTCATAATGTTCAATGTTCATGATTTGCAAACATAAAGGCGGCTATAAAAAAAAATGCCTGTGAGTTTTACAACGTTGTAGATTAAAGCTGGGGTGGTGCATGCCATTAGTCCCAGCACTTCAGAGGCAGGGGCAGAGCCAGAGGCAGGCGGATCTCTCTGGGTTCAAGGCCGGCCTGGTCTACATATTGAGTTCCAGGCTAGCTGGAGCAGGGAGGCCCTGTCTCAAAAAGATCAAAAAAGGTTGTAGGTTCAAACTGAAGGCTGACTGCATTTTCAGTGGCAGCCTGCCAAAGTGGAAATGGGCTTTGAAGTCAGGTTTGGCATTTAATGTGTATACCTGGAAAAACTTCTTTACCTTGTTCAGATTTCCGTGTTCTCAACAGCACAATGAGGATATAGTTACTTCATACAATGGTTAGAAATGTGTGCCTGGAGTGTAGTTGCTGCTATTACTAAATCTATGTAAGTCTAGGAATGTCTACAGTAGCCATTTTACTTAGTGAGAAAACTGAAGAAAGCTGTCACTGAAAAGTGTTCTACTTCCTCCAGTTTCAAAACCCTGTTTTCCAACACTGATCATCTTATAACTAGCTGGGAAATAACTTACCACAAACCCAAGAGCTACTAGAGGTTCGCCTTCATTTAAATGATAAAGGAAAGAGCCTCCATAAGTATGCCTGTCCAGGGGCCAGCCAACAGTGTGGTCTACTCGCCCAGGTTTCCATTTCTTCTCATCAATAATCCATAACTAGAAACCAAAGAGTCTTAGAGTATTAATCACAAATGAAAAATTGTAATAAGAGCAACACAAAAATTAATTTTTACATCAAAGAAATTTATAATCAAACTGTAGCATTTAAATCTGTATAAAGAAATGGGTCATACAAATTATGAATACTTCAAGACATTAGAATCTCAAATGTTAAAAACATCTTTCATGGGATTATAGAAAAACCCACATTAAGGACTGAAAGGAAGAAACTTCTGGAGTAATGGATACCTGAATGGAGCTGCACAATTCAGATGTTTCTCTCTCTCTCTCTCTATCTCCTCTCTCTCTCTCTCTCTCTCTCTCTCTCTCTCATCTATCTATCTATCTATCTATCTATCTATCTATCTATCTGTCTATCTATCATCTATTTTTTTTATTATTTTTATTTTATGTGTATGCATGTATTGCCTGCATGTAGGAAGTGCACCCGTGTTGTGGGAGACAGAGACTTTTAAAGCTCTCCAGCTTCTTTCCAAATTAAGGGGAAGGGAGTAATAGACACCAAGATTTTGCAAAAGGAGCACCCAAATTTCCAAATTTGGGTTAACCTCATGTATGTGCATGCTTTCTGGATAACAGTTATTTAAAAATACTGAATTCTGCACCATAGTCAGATTATGGTTCTAATTTTAGGTTAAAGAAATAGGCACACAAGTCTTGGATCCAGAACAACTTCCTGAACTTCTGCTGCCTAAGTTTCAATCCTAGAGCTCTCAGGTGAAAAGTTGCCTATCTGGTTTCCTCGTCACCTAAATACAGGGTTGCACTCAAAGGTCCCTTTACCTGATGATTTCTAGGGTTAAAATGCATGTCTTCTAAGAAGAAAATTCACATAAGCTTTTGTGGGAAATCAGCTAGCTGAAAGCCAGCATAGCTATAGGCTAGGCTTGAATCTAGTCTTCCCTGGGCTAGCACCCCAAGCCAGCAACTGTCTGTGTTCATATATATATAATTCTTAATAAAATAGTTTATCCTTTCCTGTTCCAGTCATCTTAAAAACAAATTGTTCATTCTATTTTCAGACTGTTTTAAGTGTTAAATAATTTTCATCAGAAATATAATCTAAAAATCAGATGTTGGGGATTGGCAAGATAGCTCAGCAGGTAAAAGTGCTGGCCACCAAGCCTGAAGGACAACCTGAGTGCAATCCCTGGAACCCACACTGTGGAAGGACAGGATAACTGGAGAGAACAATTCCCTCTAGCCTTCTCTCATGCATGCTGTGACATGCAATCCCCTCTCCTCCAGAATAAATAAATGTAATTTGCAAAATTTAAAAATCAAATTTAAATTTGATTGTGTAAGCTCTGTTTCACAATATAATGAATTCAGTTATATATAAAATTTGAACTTCAGATTTAACCTAACATTTTGCTTGTTTATTTATTTAACTCATTTTGCAGTGCTGGGGCTTGAACTCAGGGCCTCATACACATTAGGTAAACACTCTACTACATCGCTATCACTCCCCCCAACCCAAACCCACCCCCCCAATCCAAACAGAACACTATATATAATTTACTTACTTTTTTATTTACTTAGACTGAGTCTTGCTATATAGCTGAGGCTGACCCTGAACTTGCAATCCTCTTGCCTCAGCCCCCCAAGTACTGGGATTATAGATGTGTACCATCATACCTGGCTTAAAATTCTCAAACTACAGCTGTTGTGGTGGCATACATCTTTAATCCCAGCACTCAGAGGCAGAGGCAGGTGAATCTTGGTGAGTTCAAGTCCAGCCTGGTCTATATAGAGAGTTCTAGGCCAACTGGGGCTACAGGGAGAACCTGTCTCAAAAGAAGACCAAAACAGAAAAAAATTCTTAACTACCTGGGAATGTAACTCAGTGGTAGAATGCTTGCCTAGTTTGTACAAGGCCCTGGATTTAATCCCTAGCACTACAAAACAAACAAACAAAATAAAGGGTTACATGCCTTAGATTTGGGAAAATAGACTAGAGAATAAATTAAGAAAATATACATTTAAACATATTATACCATAGATTATAGATCAATATACAATGTCAGTATATTTCATAAATATTTTCACATTATGATTTTGAATAAATAATTCTTTGTAGGATGTGACCATCCTACAAATAGCACATGGACTAACATACAAGGGCAAGATGGTATTACTACAAAAAAAAAAAAATCAAAATTCAAATATTTGCAAGTTTAAGACTCATTTTATAGCCAGATGTGGTGGTGTAGGCCTTTAATCCCAGAACTCAGGAGGCAGAGGCAGGTGGACTCTGTGAGCACAAGGTCAGTCCAGTTTACAGTTTCAGGTAAGCCAGAAGTACATAGTAAAAAAGAAAAACAAACCCAACAGATTATTTCAATCAACATTTGATAAAACAATTCCAAAATGTAGACATAATTTAGCCAATAATGTAATATGACCTGTAATATTTTCTAGCCCTTAGAAAATATTCCAGTTTTAGTTATGATGAAAAATTCAAACTAATGAAAAATATAACTATAAAGTTAAATTAATTATAAACTACATGATAATACTAGTTGAATTTTCATTATTCAAAATTAAAATTATAGAAACAAACCAGAATACCTCCTTCAGACCTATCCCATAAGTCTGGGGCTCACAATTGGCCCTCAAATCAAACTTCTTGTATAGTTGCTTGGCTAGGTGTCCATGGCAACCCTCTGCAAAAACTGTGACTTTAGCATGTAGTTCTAGTCCCCTCTCAAATGTTGTCTGAAAAGCAAAACACATAATTTAAAACAGTGATGATGTAGGTACAGAAGATACAGTAGAAATATGTAACAAAAAGAAAACTAACAGCACTGTTGTAAATGGAACTGAAAATTTTAATACCTTGTCTGTTTTAGAAAAAGCAAAACATGTTCATGTTGTCTCTGAATGAATACAAAATGAAAGGAGCACTTCCGTTTCCCTACTGGCCCTGATTTTCCAGGCTTACCATCTGAAGGGAAAAACAGTAACTTTCTTGTGAGATACAAATTTAATTTTTATTTACTTATTTTGATGTGTATGAATGTTATGCCTGCAAGTGCACCTGTGCTAAGCAGTGCCCACAGAGGCTGTTAGCCACCATGTGGGTACTGGTATTCGAACCTGGGTCTTCTGCAACAACAGCTAGTACTCTTAACAACTGAGCCATCCATCTCCCCAGCCCAAAATGCAAACAAATTTCTATGAGTTAAGCACTACACAGAATCTATTTATAGCCTTTTAAACAAATAAACAGTACTAAACCTACTTTAGCTACTTGCTTTATTTACTTTAACTTTTCCTCTATTGTTGAACACAGTATTATGTAAATGCTTTCTCCCACTATAAGATAGTTATAACAGCTGTGAGTGGTGCATACTCCTGAAATCCAGGAACTCGGGAGGCCAAGGCAGGAGGACTGTGAGTTTTGAGATCAGCCTGGTCCACATAGAGAGACTGTCTTAAAACAAGACAAAAAAGGGCTTCAAAGAGGGACTTTCTCTTCTGTTTGCATTTTTTTTTTTGGTCTTTTTGAGACAGGGTCTCCCTGTAGCCCCAGCTGTCCTGGAACTCACTGTGTAGACCAGGCTGGCCTCAAACTCACAAAGATCCTCCTGCCTTTGCCTCCCAAGTGCTGGAATTTAAGGCATGCACCACCACGCCCCGGCCTCTGTTTGCATATGGCAGGAACTCCATAAAGTTACTAAGAAAGAAAAAAGAAAACAGCACAATAAGAAAAGGCTCTTAAGAAATTTTTCTTTCTTTTTTATGAGACAGGGTTTCACTGCGTAGCTTTGCTGGTTTGGAACTCACAGAGATCCACCTGCCTCTGCCTCAAGTGCTAGGATTAAAGGTGTACACCAACACACTTGATCTTAAATCTATTTTTCTTGATTTTTTTAAATCAGGTGTTTGCAAACATTGTGTATACAGATACATTCATATAATTAATAGGCTTATATCTACATAATGTTTTATAATTGTTTTCACATTTAAAGAGATTTGCCTAAAGCAATGCACCCCACATAAAGTATTCATTTTTAGTGGTCAAATGGATTCCCTTAAATTTTTATCTTGTTACGAAGCCCAAACTGCCCTTGAACTCATAACCTTCCTATCTCTGCCTCCCAAGTACTGGGCTTAGAGGTGGACACCACTGGGAAAGGTGTCCTTTAGGCTTTCATCCAAATTTCAATAGTTGTAAACATTTAGGTTTTTCCAGTGTTTATCAGCACTGTTTAGTTAAGTATCATGCTGAATGTTTTCAGTCTGATAGCAAGAATTATTTCATTATAACTTGGTATGTTTAGATCAATTGTTTATTGGTAACTTCCATTTTTCTTGTGAAATGTTATTTATGTCACATTTTACAAACGCGCGCGCGAGCACACACACACACACGCACACACACACACACACACACACACACTTGGAGGTCAAATAAGAGATGAGAAAAAACAGACTGACAAACTGGAGCTGTTTTAGAATGTCAGAAATGAAAATCAAACCACAGCATGAACAGAACATCTGTTTTTTTTTCCCCTCCAAACTTGGGGGAGTAACTTATTTGGGCTCAAACACTAAGATGTCATTGCATTCTTCTATGGTGTTTTAGGCCTTTTTAAAAATGGTGTTTTAGGCTTTTTGCTTTTTGAACACAGGTTTTCACTACGATGACCAGGCTGGTTTAGCTCTGGGGTTTGAGCATCTCAGCCTCCCCAGTGGCTGGGACTACCGGTACGCACAACCATGCTTGGCTTCTTCTATGCTTTTATATTTACGCAGCTAAAAATAGGTTTTTACAAATACAAAACACAACATGAAAAATTTGAACAAATATGAGAATAGACAAAAAATGAAGTATCAGAATGCTAGAATTTGTGTGAGATTTGTTGTGACTAATAGTTACTTTTTTATGTTATTTATAAATTTTGTAAAAAATAAATTTGTAACCAAAGTTATAAAAATAATAATTACATTAAAAAAGTATTCTTTTATCATTATGAGCTACCAGTTTTCTGTAAAGCCCTGGGTCCTGTGGTCAGAAAGCGAGTTACAACAGCAAGTTACCGCAGGGCGTGTTGAGACTCAGCACCTCAGATGATTCTCAGGTAGAGTTAAAACTGCTGGAAGAAATCCTGAAAGTCATGGCTGTGTGCCTCTGCCCTTGCTTTCTGAGCAGGAAGTAGTGAGAAAGCAGGGTGATAGGCTGGAGGAGACTAGATTTCTAATTTTGTTCAAGGATGGCAGAGAGGAGGCTAAATATCAATAAGCATTTACCCAGGACCTATTAAGTACCTGGCATTGTGCCAAGCACTGGAGTAACTACCTTCTATGATTTGTGTCCTCATAAAACTTATAATCTAGTTAGGAGAGCAGGTAATAAACACAAACAGACAATGCATCAAGATATTAACTTGTGTTTTATTCTTATTGTAGGAAAGCAACTTGTAGTTTTTTTCTTTTCTACCTTCAATCAGCTTAGGATTACTTAAGAAAAAATTTTTAATCTTTTTTTTTGAAGGAGGGTCTCATCTGTAGCTTAGGTTGGCTTAGAGCTATGTAGCTCAGGTTGGTCATGAACTCATAGCAATCCTTCTGCCTGAGCTTCCCAAGTGTTAGGGTTACAAGCATGTGATACCATGCCTGACTCTGGAAGATCTGTTTAAATGTACGTTTAATTATTAATCTAATTAGCTATTATTAACAGGTTGAGTAGCCAGGCATGGTAGCACACAACTTTAGTCCCAGCACTCTAGAACCAGATCTCTGTGAGTTAGAGGCCAGCCTGGTCTACAATAGTGAGTTACAGGTCAATTGGAGATACAAGCAGACCCTCTCTAAAAAATAAATAAAAAAATAATAAAGTAACAGGTTGAGTAACTTTTCAGATTTTTTTTTTATTATGGACTCTTACATATTACTAGCAAATACCTAACATTTATTTCTGTCTACTTGATTAGGATTATACTTTGAATGAGAGGAAGGCAATCAGTTTTAGAATTTCCAAAAGATTTCTGCTGATAGTAATGTTAATGATTCTTTTTTATGAGTGTTTTGCCTGCATGTATGAAAGTGCATCCATGTGTGCAATGCCTGTGGAGGTCAGAAGAGGGTGTTGGATCCCCTGGAACTGGAGTCAAAGATGGCTGTTAGCCACCATGTGGATGCTGGGAATGGAACCCAGGTCCTCTGCAAAGAGGAGCCAGTGTTCTAACCTGCTGAGCCATCTCTCCAGCCCTCTTTCTTCTTGTAGAAAACAAGTAGTTGAGGCTGGCCTTGAACTTCAGCCTCAGTCTACCAAGTGCTGTGATTACAGATGTGTGCCCCCACACCCTGCTAAATCTTTCTTTTTGACTCCTCAGTTTTAATAAGTATTAAAAAGGTATACCTTTGGTGCACCATCCTTTTGTATTCCTACATCATTAGTGGCAATTCCTTTTACACTACCGTCTTCATGAAAAAGGACCTAAAATCGATAAAAACAAATTTATTATCACCTCAGGATTCATACTAATTTTGAGATGTTCTTTAGATTATGGAAATGCATGCTTTGAAATGATGGTGATTGCAGTTTATTTTTGATGCAATTAGGAAAGGGAGAAAGATTAAAAGTTAATTCTGAGGATGAGATGCTGCAACCTTCGGAAACCCGTTTCCTTTCTCTGGAGGAAAATACTTTTTTCTATTCTGTCTAGAGAGGGTCTCCCTATAGCCCCAGCTGGCCTGGAATTTGCTATGTAGACCAGGCCTGCCCCTGTCTCCACACCCAGCATGACTCACATGACTCTGTAAGAAAGTGAGGGGATAATGATACCTGGATTAACAGCAATGGACATGGGGGATGAAAAGGGAACCAAGGTCTGCCTCTGGGTACTAAAGCAAACAGAAAAAAACCAGGCAGACAGATCATTAGCCTGTGAGAGTGATCAGTAAAGAATGAAAGAAAAGGCAGGCCTGGTGGCACAAGCCTTTAATCTCATCACTTGTGAGGCAGAGGCAGGTGGATCTCTGTGAGGTTGAGGCCAAGCTGGTCTACATAGCAAGTTCCAGGACAGCTGAGGCTATAGAGAGACCCTGCCTCAAAACAAAATAAAAATTTTAAAGAGGTACAAGAGATCATAAACACATACATGTAAAAGGAGAAAACTATATATTCTATAAATCACCCAACCATGCCTTTGACAATGATCCTGTGTTAAGAAAGTTTAATAAGAAACAGCACAAAATTCCACACTGGGGTCTAAAAAAGCAGATGCACATGTATAGGCTCAGAGAACACAAATCTGTAGTGACAAGTACAATGCAGGAGTCTTATGTATTTTATTTGGCTTTGATTTATAAAAAATCTGAGTTTTTTCCTGATGCCAAACAGAAAAGAATTGCTCTACCACCCACTCTTCAATATTTCTAGCCAAATTATTATTATTATTCTGAAACTGGGTCTCAGTATATATGCTTGGCTGGCCTGGAACTCAATTGACAGGGATCTGCCTGTTTCTGTCTCCTGAGTGCTGGGATTAAAGGTGTGTGCCACTATGTCTAGCCCTTAATAGGAGACAAATAAAGAGCTAAATAAACCTCAAGCCAGGTTTTGTACCCTAGGAATGCCTCTTGGTCTCTGAGGTCTACACTCTGTGGCCATCAAGAGGGATGCCGTCTGTCTTCCTGTCTCTGTAGGAGTTTGGGCTAGTTGCTTGGTCCATAATCTGCTCCTTATCAAAAACACCATAACCTTTATTATGTCTCTGGGCAATGACAACTTATATGTGATAGACGTTATCTGCCTGGCTATATAAAAGGATATTTCTTTTTTAGCCTGTGACAATTGTGGTGGTCTTGGTTTAGTGCTCATTCAACATTAAATTGATTTCAATCATTTTTTTACAACTAATAGAGAAGATTCTTCTGGGTTGTCAGATTTTATTTAATGAGATCAAAAATTTGAAATGGTTGCCAAAAAGGTTATTATTTTTGATGCAACTAATGGAAGAAGAGGCAATGAAGAATAATCTATACCAGGCTTGAAGTAGTTTCTACATTCTGGGTGTTACTTTAAAAAAGTACTGAATACACATTTTCAGTGGAGGGCAATACTATTGAGGGCACCCAAATAACACAGCATAGAAACTAAAGAAATGAGAATATTTAGTCCGGGGAAAAAAAGAAACTCCTGGTGGGTATGATGGGGAAGGAGACGCTGGAACAAAACAGGGTGTCCCTGGAGAGAGAACGGAGCACACACTTGCCTTGCAAAGCATCAAGGCAGGTCATTTCCATTCAATCTAATGAAAAGATGACCAGGAGCCCACACTTGAGTTTTTATCCCGATGGTGTTCACTCATTTGATGGGGGGCGGGGGTGGAGGACAATATACAGAATTCATTTCCCCTTTGGATTAGAATTTTTTAATATTACTAATCTTGCAATTCTTACATCTTTTAAATCAATTCGTAAATTTTTCAAATAAAAATTGAAATTCTATTAAATTCTTGGTTTACTTTCAGAAGAAAAACATTGCTTCTTACAAATAATAAAAAACAAAACTACACCAACCTCAGCAGCAGCATATCCGGGGTAAACTTCAACACCAAGGGCCTCTGCCTGTTCTCCCATCCAGCTCACTAAATGTCCCAGGCGCACAATGTAATTGCCATGATTGTTCATTGGAAGACCTAGAAATATTTATGTATTTTAAATCTGATGTTTTATTGATATCTCCATAACATACTTAACCTAAAAATCTCAGTTTGTGCCACTACATAAATACACACACACACACACAAATAGGTATCATCTTGGTGGTCATAATCTGCAACCCATTTAAAAAATAATTCTTGTTGAGAGTTCTAGTTTTTTAAAAAATTTATTTTATGTGTATGAGTGTTTTGCCTGCATGTATATTAGTGCACCCATGCTGTACAATGCCCACAGAGGTCAGAAGAGGGTGTCAGTTACCCTGGGACTGGATTTATGAATGGCTGTGAGCCACCATTTGGGTGCTGGGAGCTGAACCCAGGACCTCTCTCTGCAAGAGAAGCCTGTGCTTTTAACTGCTCAGCTGTCTTTCCAGCTAATTTGTTAAAATAAGAACGCTGTTAAAGCACTGAAATAAAAATTCCTGGTTGGCTTGGTCAGAAGACACAAGAACTGGGATCTAGTCCTGCTTTCCCAACAGCTAGCTATCTTTGGGTAAATCCTTCAAATTTCCAGGCCTCTGTTTTCTTGTTTGCAAACGAGGGCAGCTTCTTTCAGCTGTGGAAGTTCGGGGTTTTTATAAATGTGTCGTACTTTACCTGGGAGGATTGGCACAGGAATTCTATACTTTTCTGTTAAAATTGCAAATCTGTCTTCTGTTACGGGAGTGTTAAGTGGAGCCTAGGTACAAATGAAAAAGGAAACATTTTTAGTTAACATCTGTGAGGGCCAATATAAATTTGTAACCCTCCTGAACTCATTCAGGGGAGGAGGGAACAGAACTCCTCTCCTGTTCACTTTTCTTTCAGCCTTTCCTCGGAAAAGCTTGTAGTGAAATCTTTTCTGTGTCTGTCTGAAATAGGTGGAAATCTTAAAAGCTAAACCCCTCTTGCTACTTTTGTCCTAGCAACCTCTTTCCTGGAGACCTTTAGAGACATGTTTGAACTGTGCATGTTTCCCAGTCTCACTGGGAGTTCAGCCTAGGTGCTTGGCTACATGTTGAAACTCCCATCTTGTTGAAAAAAAAATTAGGAATGTTTTCCTTTCCTTTGGGTAAAGACAGCTAATATGGACTGCTTACTGTTTGTGTGAAAGGGTGCTAAAACAGTAAAGGGCTCTGAATGTAAAAAATGTTTTCTGTTAGAACTGATTCTATGTCAATTCAATGATACTGGTTTCTGATATACTAAAAAGAAAATTTTAATTCCTTTAGGTGTTTTTGTTTTAAAAGTGTTATTTTGGAAAAGAGAGCATAAAGTTTTAGAGTTTCATTTATTCCATAAAGAAAGAATATAGATAATATTTATATGTTTTTGACCTTTATCAAGAGTAGTCACAAATACTTCTAACTTTGGAGGTAGGACAGCTGCAACTAATGTTATGGCAGAAAAAAAATGAGTGTAAGAGTTCAATCAAATTCATCCAAACTTTGAGAGTGAAGAATGAGTACCAGTCCTCTGCATATCACACCTGCAGCTTTTGTGCTGAAACTAGAGGAGGCCTCAGTAATGTATTCCTTGAGAAAATTACTCTTTTCTTTGGCTTTAGATACTGTATTGTTACAGAAAAATTTACAAACAACCTTACTAAAAACACTGGCACAAACACCTAAAGAACAAATTAAAGATTAAAAAGTGTTGTGTCTTACTAGGTAAAATGTTCAAAGGTCTTCTTAAGATCATGGCTTCTAAGTCTGCTACACAAATACAACATGTAAAACGTATTGTATAAAAACAACTTAATATCTTAAATGACAATTCTGTTCATGTTTTCTGCAGACCGGCTCTTACTGTGTAGCCCAGGTTGGCCTTGAATTCATCATCCTCTTGCGTGCTAAGACTATAGGAGTATTCAACTGTACCCAGTTTTTCTTCATGTGTTTGTGTATATATGTATGTGGTGCTGGGAATTGAACCCAGGACCTTGTACTTGTTAGACAAGTACTATACCATCAAGCTACATCCTTAGTCCCTTTTGTCTGTTCTTCTAAAATTAAGAAGAAAAAAAAATCTATGTATATATACTCAATCCCTAACAATTAAGACACACATGAAAAAGGGATCCTTTATTCCATTAATTTAAAAGTAGAGACAGTGAAGATTAGACTTTGTGTTTTATTTTTTTGGTTTTTTTTTTTTTTTTTTTTTTTTGAGAAAGGGTCTCCCTGTAGCTCCAGCTGGCCTGGAACTTGCTATCTATACCAGGCTGACCTCGAACTCACAGAGATCCACCTGCCTCTGCCTCTTGAGTGCTGGGATTGAAGATAAGACTTTGTAAGAAACAAGTCTTCATACCCCCTTCTCCTTCCAGTCTGGGAAGAGCTCTGTAAAAGCAGCTGGATCAAGGCAAGCCCCTGAGAGTGTATGCGCTCCTATCTGAGCAGCTTTCTCAACCAGACACACACGGATGTCCTTTTCCTGTGCAGCAGCCAGCTGCTTCAGGCGAATAGCTGCAGAGAGCCCCGCAGGGCCTGCACCAACCACAACCACATCTGCTTCTTCTGCAAATCTCTCCATATTCACTCCTGGGAGGAAAAAGGGTTACAAACAAATAAAACGTATAGGATTAGTATGACCTGATAACTGCAAGTTAAGTCACATACTGATTTAGAATACTCCACTGTGTTTTATTGTGCCCACTGTGATTTAGAGAATTATTTATAAAAATTCCCTCTGGGCTATGCACAGTAATTACAGTAAGTATTTTATTTAAAGAATTTCGTATTCCCTTAGGTTCTATTTCAGTACTTATTTTAGCTCCCATAAACCAACTTTTGGCTTTGAAATCCATTATTATAAAATTTAGCAGTCCTGTAGGTACACTTAAGGACACTTAACACTTAAGAATTACAGGCAGGAGGGTCAGGAGTTCAAGATCATCCTCTGCTACTTTATGGGTTCAAGGTCAGGCTACAGGCGACCTTGTTCTTAGAAACAATCAAACAAATGACAAGTGTTTAATATGGAGCATATTTGATAAAGCTGTAAGAGCTACTAGATGCTTTCAAATTAGTATGAAAAATAAAATATATTCATGCCAACAAAACAATACAAAGTATCTAGAAAAGTCTCACGAATTTTACACAAATTATTACATACCTTCCCATCTTTTGTCTTTATCCCGGGGATGAATGGTATAGTGGGTAGTAATTCGAGGTACAACAGAGGTTGAAGACCATCTTGTGGCACACAGAGGTAGGTACGTTTTCTTAATTTTTAGGGCATGAAAACACTGATATGCTGCATGAAAATTATGAACAATGTTATCTTTTTAAAAACTAGTTTTCCTCTGGAGTACATTGGAAGAAAACAACCTGTAAGCTGAATGACTGTTCTCAGTGAATGAGGCAAATGGAAATGGAGCATGCGCTAAGATGGACAAACCAGTTAGTGTTTTCTCATGAAGCAAATTTTCAAATCTTTAAAAATTTTTAAAAACTTATTTTATGTGTATGAGCATTTTGCTGCATGTGTAAGTGCACCACATGGTGCAGTGCTCATAGACGCCAGAAGAGGGCATCAGATCCCCTGGAACTGGAGTCACAGACAGTTGTTAGCCACCATGTGGGTGCTGGAAACTGAACTCAGATCCCCTGGATAAACAGCAAATAGTCCTAATCAACTGAGCCATCTCTCCAGCCCTCAAATTTTCAAATCTTAACTCTTTTAAAATAAATAAAAGGATAAAATAATAAAATGAATGGCTCAGAAATAAAACATACACTGGGGCAATGGTTACTCATTAAGTGAAACAAAGATAAGATGGATGCCATTGCAAATGCCATTTGGAGAAAGTGTATGCCCTGCTCCTTATGCTGAAATAAATTCCATTTGATAAAGATTTTGACAGTCACAGTATCTACTGATTATGTATCTACAAATTCTTTGATTCTTCTCCTTTTTAATGTAAACCTAACTTAACTAGTTTCTAGTAAGTACAATAAGGAGAAAAAATTAACTTTATAGTAGAGAAATATAGCAAATAAGTTTTAATTAATTAAGCTTAAATACCATCAGCAAGACACTGACGTAATGTACCCTCAGTATGATGCAATGAGAAATATTCTTCAATTCTGTGGTATATCACCTCAAAATTTTTACACCTCAATCTAATAGAAAATCACGAGAAACTACCAGAAAAATTTAGGGTGAGAAGCATTCCACAAGATGCCTGACAAGTACACATCAAAAGCATTAAAGGTCATGAAAGACTAGAAAAGACAGGAACTGTCACACTAACATAGATTAAGGTATGCTAACTAAAAGCAACATGGATGCCAGGACTGGATCTTGGAACAGAAAAAGGAAATCTGTATAAATTCTGAGGTTTAATAACATCTCACCAATGCTAATTTCTTAGTTTTGATAATTCACTATGATTTTCTAAGATATTAAGCTATAAAAAAGGCACATGGAACTATATATTCATTCTGCAACTCATCTGAAAGTCTATAACAATTTCAAAATAAAAAGTTAAAGATTATGCTGATAGAATAACACAAAATTAGATCAAAAACTGAAATGTAAGAGCTACAACTACAAAACTCTTGGAAAAAAACATGGCTGTAAATCTGTGACCCTGGATTAAGCAACGGTTTGCTATGACAACCAAAATCATAAGCAATAAAATAGTTAAGCTGGACTTCATGAAAATTAAAATCTGGATACAATCAAGGAAGTGAAAGTTAAGTCAGGTGTGGTGGTACACTCCTGTAATTTCAGAACTTGGGAGGCTGAGGCAGGAGGATCATGAGTTAAGGCCAGCCACGGTTACATAGTAAATTCCAGGCTAGCCTGAGCTAACTAGCAAGATGGTAACTAAAACAAACAAACAAACAAAAAACCAAAGTGAAAATATAACTTGTACAATGGGAGAAGATATTTGCAAATCATATATCCGGTAAGGGACTTTTATTTAAAATATGTAAGGAAATCATATGCAGGGCCAGTGAGAAGGCTCAGCACACAAAGGTACCTGCTGCCAAGCCTTTTGATCTAATTCAATTCCTGGAATCCACATTGTGGGTGCAAACTGTACTCTAACGACCACCACCAATAAATAAATAAATGTAAAAACAAATTAAAAAGAAATCATACCTAATAATGAAGAGGAAATCCAATTAAAATGAGGGTCACCTGCCTAGCTAGTATAAAAAACCAGGGGGAATGGTATTAGTCCAAAAACCTAATGAAAATTTACACATACTATATCTCTACATGAGTCTGTGAGTATAGCTGAAAACTATTTAACAAGAAACAGTGCCAGACAGGAGAAACCTTCGAGTTGTCGGCCAGGAAGTCCAAGAGACTCCCAAAATTATGCAGGCTATTTGCCAGTGTTTGATTACCTCCCAGAACTTGATGGTAAGGCCCTATTGTTGAAGACAGGACATACTCTGGACACAGGATTTGGAGCAATGGAGCTGGAACTGACTTGGAAGCCACCTCCCCTGAAAGCTGCTAAGACCATCAATCGATGGTCCAACACCAGCTTCAAGGCCTAAAAACCACATCAGTGGCCAGCACAGCAAATGACATGGGTGCAGTAGTGTTACTTTTATCTTGGGGGTAATCAACAGCTACTTAATTAGACTTAAAACCCACACAATGGGAGGAAACTCATGTGTGGTACTATAAACCTAGTCAAATACAGATAGCTGAAGAGGTCATAGATCTTAGGAGAAAATTCCAAGGCTGTCACATCCCTACACAAATGTAATATGGATCCTTAAATATACAGACAAGTATCCCAGTCACCACCCACGAAAGAAGCTTCTTTTTCAAAGAGTCAGAGATAGTTACAGAGTTCCACAACGGGTCACACACAGAGATTGTCTGTGAATTGCCCAAGCTTAAGTGGCACATCTAGAACGCAACCTCTACACCTAAGGCTCATGGAACATAGAACAAGGGATGAAGAGAGCACTAATGCATCTCTCAATTCTCATCAATGAAGGTTCCTCATGCAAGAGAGGGCCAGGAACACAAAAGGTTACAAATGGCCAAAACTCAGAGCAAGAGTATGCAGAGTGTGGGTTCTTGGACAGGGCTCCTATGTTAAAATCCACCCACCCAGGGCTCAGGAATCATTGTGGAAAAGGGGGTGGAAAGATTGTAAGAGCCAGCGAGGATGTTCATGACTACACAGAAATAGTCCTACAGGCTCCTGGGATCCTTCTCATACAAACCTACTGCAATGCAGTAGGTATCAGACAAAAACCCAGCATAGAACTGTGGAAATGAACAGCAGGCCCCAACCTTAGTTGAAGAAATATCAGTAGCTGATTACAGCTGGGTGAGAATGAGCTGATCTTAAAGGGTGGGCCTCGAGGATTGACTAGATCCCAGTGGATGAACCTGCACTGAGGGACATCTGGGGGCACTAACTTTACATGATAGGCCTTAACACAAATGACAGAGGTATGAACTCCAGTGGGGCAGGGAGGCTATGGGAGGGTGCCAAAGGGGAAGGGGGGTATAAAGATGATTTTCTGTATGAAATACACAAAAATTCAATAAAAAATGAAAAAAAAAAATGAGGGCCACCAAAATGGCTGTGGGTAAAGGCGCTTGCCCTACAAACCTGATGACCTGAGTTTGATTCCTGGAACCCATGTAAAGGTAGACAGAGAGAACTCCACAAAGTGGTCCTCTGACTGCCACATGCATGCCCACCCCCAGTATTAAGCAAATTAACAAAACACCCCACAATGAAATTCTACTTTACAACCACCAGGATGGTTACAATCCTTGCAGTGCTTCTGGGAATGTAAAATGGTGCGTTTTTTTTTTTTTTTTTTTTTTTTTTTTAAGAAAAGGTGTGGCAGTTCCTCAAAGGTTAAACAGTCTTCAAAGACAAATGAAAATATATGTCCACAGAAAACTGCACATGAATAAGGCTGTAAAGTGCAGAAAGCTCAATAATAAAAAGTACTGATGGATGCTAAAATATGAACCTTGAACAATACTGCTACCTACAACAGGTGCCAGCTATAAAAAGGCAATAGTAGACTATCTACTTAGTATGGTAACTGATGAGTAGCAGTGAAACGCACAGGAAGTTATTAATGTTCCCTAACCATCAGCTGTAAAGTTTGTAGTCAATCTTTGTCTTGAAAATACCATCATGAAGGATCTAGTACATCTTGCACACAGCATGTATGTTACATGTTTCTTAAGTGGATAGGGTCCTTCCTTCCTGGTAACAATTTCAATGGTTAAATAGAAACCTGAGAATTTGTTTAATTTCTGCTTAACAATGAGGCCATTTCCCAACTCGGACTGTGTCCTATGAAGCATCTGCAAATGAATAAAATTTTAAACATGGACTGCAAAAAGTAAATAGTAAAGAAAAACAAAGAATTTTACATGGATTTTGACTTTCACAGACACAACAAATGGTTAAGAATTTTTCATTTTAATACAGTGTCTTAACTGGGGATGTAGCTCAGTTGGCACGAAGCCGAGTTGCCTCCCCAGCACCACATAAAACCAGGTGTGGTAACTGTTTGCCGGCCACAGACAGCAGTGAAGAGGCTTGTGAAGGATTGCTCTACCTCTTGGGTTGCAGCAGTTGTCTGTATTTTACTTCAGAATAAGTAGACAATGATGAACTGGCTGCCCTCGAGTCTCTAGGCCTGGACTTCCTCCCACAAGAGAGGCAGAAGTCCAAGAAGGATGCCCTGACACTATTCCAGAGACTGCGTAAAAAGGAATGTTAGAAGAAGCAATCCGCTCCTCCTGAAGAAGCTGCTTTTCCTCATTCATTGGCTGGCCCTTCTGACCAGTGTCTTAGACAGCAGAAAGGAGATGGTGAAGGAGCTGCAGGTTCTGGGCAGAGCCCAGGTGTTTGTCTACAGGGCTCTTTCACCTCTCAGATGATGTGAGCAAACCAGAATTGAGGGAGAGCCCTTGTTCTGGATGGTAGCCTGTGCTTGATGTTTTCATAGAGATGGAGAAAAGGCTTAAACCTCGAGGATATTGTTTGCTCTTCAACAATAATCCTAGAAGGAAACTTGAACACCCTGAAAATAACCTGTGAGTAGTCAACAAGAGCCTGATGGGGAAGATAACATTCATTTGCAAATGGAGAGGGGCGCTTCAGAGTGAAGGAAATGTTGAACTCCTCAAAAGAACAAGAGAGCGAGTCACAGATACTGGACAAAGTTTACCAAATTAAAAAACAAAACAAAATAGAGGCTAGAGGGATGGCCCAGAAGTTAAGAGCACCGGCTGATCTTCCAGAAGACTTGGGTTCAATTCCCAGCACCCACACGATGGCTAAAAACCATCTGTAATTCCAGTTCCAGGGGATCCAACACCCTCTTCTGGTCTCTGCAAGCATTGTACGATACAGCTGCACTTACATACATGCAGGCAAAACACTCATACACATAAAATAAAAAACATACAAAACCCCTCAAGGCTATTGTTTGATCTTCAACAATAATGATTTTAGCAAGGTACAGAAGGACATATCCAAACTTTACAAAATGAAGGATAGGACCGGGCATCTGTAATACCAGCACTTGGGAGGCAGAGGCAGGTGGATCTCTTTGAATTGGAGGCCAGCTGGGGCTACAGTGAGACCTTGTCTCAAAAAGACCAAAATTAAAATAAAAAAATAAAATGAAATGAAGGATAGGAAAGAAACAAATTATGATGAAGCTTTGAGCAAGATGTTTATAAAAAGCTTCATTTTGAGATAGAACCTTACAAAGACTCTACAGCAAAGAAAATCCATGATGTTCTAGAATCCTATCAAGGCATGGACCACAACAAAGACTGCTTCATCTGTTGTATCCTCTCCCATGGAGTCAAGGGCATCATCTATCATGGATGGGCAGGAGATCTCCATCTATGAGTTGACATCTAATTTCACTGGTTCAAAGCCTTCCCTGGCTAGAAAATCAAAAGTCTTTTTTATTCTGGCTTGTCAAGGAGATAGTTACCAGAGTGTTCTGTTAAGAGTGACTCAGAGCAGGATTTAGAAATGGATTCATCAGCTCAAAAAAAATGATATAGTTGATGCTGACTTTCTGCTGGGGATAGCTACTGTGAAGATTTGTGTTTTCTATGGAGGCCCTATAACAGGACCTGGTCTATCCAGTAATTTTTCTGGAGCATGAGGGAAAGGTATACTCAAGGTGGTGATCTTCTCACCATCCTGACTGAAGATAACTATGAAGTCAGCCACAAAGACCACATGAAGAACATGTAGAAATAAAGCTGCAGCACCTTTGCACTAAGGAAAAGCTCTTCTTGCCTCCTAACTGATGTCCAGTCTAGGTGTACAGCACTGTCACCATTTCACACCTTTCCTTTGGGGATATGAGAAAGAAATGAAAGATAAAGAATTTTAATTTATTTTAAATTCCATTTTAATTCAAGTTAAATCTCTGGCTTTGAATGTGAGTTGTTTTAAGTTATAGGTATACTTTTATTTTCGTTGTGTTTTTATCTAAATAATATGAAAATATACAACTTAAAAGTCATTACCTTAACAGGCTCCTCTTTCTAAGCCATCCTTCATACTACCCCTCTGTGTCTGTGGGTACCTCTTCCTAGTACTGGCCTACTTCCTCTCTTGGAATTGTATTCTGTTTTAATAAACTGTCTTTGTTTCTGCCATTAAAAAAAATTAAGGGGCTGGAGAGATGGCTCAGCAGTTAAGAGTACTGGCTGTTCTTGTAGAGAACCCAGGTTTGATTCCTAGCACCCACATGGTGGCTAATGACTGTCTGCAACTCCAGGGGATCTGACACCCCTCTTCTGACCTCTCTGGGCACCACACAACATGGGGGCACTTACACACATGTGGGCAATACACACATAAAAATGAATAAATAAAATATTTTAAAACAAACTAAAATAAACCTCCAAAAAATCAGGTGTGGTGATCACACCGAGAAGATCAGAAATTCAAGGTCATCTTTAGTTACATAACAAGTTCATGACCAGTCTGGGTTACATGAGACCCTGTTTCAAACAAAACATATCATATCCTTTGTAACTTTTTGATATATATGAAGTAGCTACAATCTCTTCTTTACAGCAGACAAATAGGAATTCAGATAATCTGTTAACATCCTGTTAATCCTTAAGACTACTGATTTGGAGATTATCTCTGCAGTCATTACCTGAGGCTGTGACAAAATTTTTTTTCCTGATTAAATGGAAAGAAGACATACATGCTTTAACAAAAATCAGTCTGACATAGCTAATTATTTTTATTTTTAGCAACACTTGAATGATTAATATTTTTTGATGTTTTATTCTTTTCAAAGTAGCTTTTTTTTTGAAAAAGTAAAACCTGGCAAGACAGTCAATAACTAAAGGTTCTGATGAAGGCAAGTTGGGGAAGCATTTGGAGTTGCTGAACTTTAATGCCTTGTAAATACTATAAATTTGCTTTTGATATTTAAAAAAAATTATTTTTATTTTTTTGTCTTTTTGAGACAGGGTCTCCCTGTACCCCAGCTGGCCTGGAACTCATGTAGACCAGGTTTGGCCTTGAACTCACAGAGATCCACTTGCCTCTGCCTCCTGAGTGCTGGGATCAAAGGTGTGTGCCAACATGCCTGGCTAAAATTTTATTTATGTGTGTTTTGCTTATATGTCCGTAACTGTGATTCGGGCATTGCACTCAGATGCCAGAAGAGGGCGTCAGATTCCCCTGGAACTGGAGTTACCCATGGTTGTTAGCCACTATGAGAGTGCTGGGAACCCAGGTCCTCTGCAAGAGCAGTAAGTGCTCTTAACAATAAACATCTCTTCAGCTTCCTGCTTTGATCTTAAAGTGGAAGAAAACGAATATTCTCTACTTGTAATGCATACTAAAAATTAGAATACTGGGAATACTTTATTAAGCTAGAGATAAGCCTTTATCCTAAATCTTGAAAAAATGGAAGATACATATAAATATTATAGGTGAACTCAATTAAGTTCAAATATACTATTATCATTTAAGAGTATTGTTCTCATTTACTTATAAGTGGAATATGACAAACTTTAATTCTATTATTTGTACAGATACTGATTTGCTTTAGAGTAGCTGGAACCGTGGAGTCTGATTTCCACCAGGGGATTTCAAAAGGTGTAACCTTTACTCTTCAGAAAACGAACCTGGTATTCTCACAGTAGAGATGAGGACATTTAGGCACTGTGACTGAATTATGGTAGAGGAGCAATGTCAAAGTCCACTGACCTAACACCATAACACCACATCAGTCATACTGACAGCACACTTGTGCCACTTATTTGTTGCCAATAGTGCTAATACTGGGCTATGAAATGGTAAACCAATCAGCATTCAAAGAAAGAGTCACTAGACCAAGACTGACTTTATCTAAATTAGGCTGTTAAAACAGAGAGCAACTGGGGGGCTGGAGAGATGGATCAATGGTTAAGAACACTGATTGTTTTTGCAGAAGACCCGGATTTGAATCCTAGCACCCACATGGCAGCTAACAAATGTCCATAACTCCAGTTCCAGGGGATCTGATGGGGTACACTTACCTACATGTAGGCAATACACACACAAAATAAAACTAATAAATAAAATATTAAAAACAAAACAAAAAAACAGCAACTGACTGACTACAGGACAGCGTCCAAACACAACATATTCTTACAGTGTGTAATAGATCCTTGGGTTGAATTTACAATATATATATACATAAAAATTCCTTAACCAAATTTGCTTAATTTAAGATTTAAATTAACTGAGTTAACAGAATTCAACATCTAAACTTTTGTTTGAATTAGTTTTTTTTTTTTTTTTAAGTAAAACTTTCAAAATATTACCCAACTGCGTTAAGGACTCATAACAGAAGCACCTAGAGTTAAATGAAGACAGTACAGAAAAACTCCCGGCTCCAGACATAACTGGTGACATGGGCAGCACATGAATGTTAACATGATGTGACACATCAGACTTCATATTAAGACGGGACCAGCATGGCTGCAAAGATGAAAGTCAGGTCAGGACCAAGGAGAAAACCCATGCAAGTTTTTCTTTTTCTTTCCCGTTTCTATCAAGGCAGCAGATAATACCTGGGCCTTGGGATAAGGACTAGGGCCAGGATTTGGGAAGACTCCAAGGAGTGGGACGTGTAGACAACGTTCCTCCGCCCATGACCTTTAACCTAGTTGTTAATTCTTCCAACTGGGGCAACTTGAAGGACAGGAAGCCGGGGTCCACCAGCGCTGACTTTTGCCCTAGTTTAGCCTGAGAAAACAGATAAGGGGAGAGGTGCTTGCAGTCCCCGAAGCGTGACCCAGTCTGTTTTGCCCCAACTTCTCCACCTTGCTCCACTTGTCCCCACCCGGAGTTTCGTCTCACCCGGGCAGGACAGCTTGGATAGAGGCATCAACATGTTCAAAGTAACCCGGAGTCTTGGCCACAAGACACAACGGAAGGAGGGCTGTCAGCGGCGGGCCGCGGGCGCAGGACTTCTAGGCCACCGGGGACGCCATCACCTGCTGGGAAGCACCGACGCCCACCTGAAGACCTCCAGAGGGTTCAGCCGACCGCCCTTGCTCCACCGCGAACCCGCCTCTCTTCTGCTTTGCGCCGGCGCCTCAGAAACCCCGATGGCCAATAAGGTTTCCAGGTCACAAACTAGCAGAAAAAGGCAAAAGACTTCAACTCCCAGCCATCCTGCGGCTGCAAGCGTGCATTTCCTCCTTACCCCGGAACCAAGTGTGAGGAAAAGGTCCACAAACCTTTGCGAGAAAGCCGTTGGGCCTAGCGCCGCGCACAGCATTCTGGGAGTTGTAGTATTCAGTTCCAGAGACCTGGGAGCGCAGGAGCGGCGAGTGCCGACTGGATTGACTTCTGATTGGCTCTCTGGAAAAATGAAAAGTCTTTGCGGTCCCAGAACTAGACCTACGAGGAGACGGGGCGGGACTCCGGGCTGGCGGAGGCGGGGCCTGTGGGCTTCGGGCGCGAACTGTTGAAAGGCGGTTGGTGTGGGTTCGGTTGCTCGGTCTAGTCCGGCGTCCCGGCTTTACCCCATGGCTGACCCGGAGGAGCTTCGGTTTTCGCCGCCGCCTCCGCCTCCGCCTCCTTCTTCTCCACCTTCAGGCGTCTCAGCATCTTCGCTCAGCGTCCCAGTGAGTTTGGGCTGGCGGGTTCCGAGCCCATCAATGGACCCTCTGGAGCAAGTGGAGCTGCAGATCGGAGACGTGAGTGCGGCCGCGCGGGCTGGGGGGTGTCTGGAGGGACAGAGTCGCTAGTCGGATCCGCTGCTGCTGCCGGTCCGCTTCCGCCGCCCCCGGAGCAGGCCGCAGACAGGGCGCCCCCCAGCCTGCGATTCCGGGCGGAGGAACTGAGGGCTAGCCTCGGCTCTCCACCCACACTGATCTTTTCTCGTCTTTTTGTTGCAGTCATCCGCAGAACTGAAAACACGAGCTCCATTGAGCCTCCCGGCCCTGCTTCCCCCCCCCCCCCCCCCCCCCCATCCCAGAGCTGTTTGGGTGATGGAAGCTTCGCTGCGGGTTGGTGCTGTGGGTGGAGCAGTGATTCCTTTCCAAGGAACGGGAGCCAGCTGTACTGGACCTGCTTGGGTTAGGATCAGTCACGGCCGGCCGCAGAGGTCATTCGTGTAACAGATTAGACAGGATGCCTCCCGGTCCTTAAAATGCACAATTACTCTGTTCAATCTTGAATTGTTTGTTTTTGTTTTTACGAAAATGCTATCTGTATGAGTGTATTGTCTGCATGTACATAAGTGCACCAGTGTTGTGCAGTGCCTCAAAGGTCAGAAGAGGGCATCGGATCCTATGGAACTGGAGTAGAGGACGGTTGTTAGCCGACATGTGGGTGCTGGGAACTGAACCCAGGTCCTCTGCAAGAGCAGCAAAATGTTCTTAGTCTCTGAACCATCTCTCCAGCCCCAGAAGCGTCTAATTTTGATATTCTGTCAGCTCAGAGTATCTGTTCTTTGATCTTCCTATTTGTAGTCTCTAAAAAAGTGTTCACAGGCAAAAATAGTGGAACAGTGCCTTTGTTACCCAAATATTAGCAAGAATTGTTTAAGAGAAAGCCCTTTAGATAGTTCTAGTACTTTTAGTCAAGGGGTTCCAAGTTACTGTGTGTTTTCAGTTAAAAATAACTGACTTGTTATGTGTCATGAATATATTTCTAGCAGATGCATTTCCTGAAAACTTGCATAATGAAGAAGGATTGGAGAGCCTGGGAGTGTAGCTCAGGGGCAGAGCCATATACCCAGCATGCTCAGAGGCCTTGGGTTCAAAAAACACCCAGTGATTTTATTTGAAAATCTAGTACTTTTAAATGTTTAATTTAAAATTTTTGTTTTATATGTATGAGTGTATTGCATGTGTGTAAGTGCCCCTGTGTCATGCAGTGCCCAAGGAGGTCAGAAGAGGGCATTGGATCCCCTGGAACTGGAGTTACCGACGATTGTCAGCCACCATGTGGGAATTAAACCTGGGTCCTCTGCAAGAGTAGCAAGTGCTCCTAACTGCTGAGCTATCTCTCCAGTCTCCAAAATCTAGTACTTTTAAAGAAACACTTGGGCATTGGATTGAAGGTTTTAAACTATTTTTAGACTATCAAGTTATATAAGAATTTATTAAACATCCATCTGGGCATAGTAGCATATGCCTTTAGTCCCAGCACTTGGGAGCTTGGGAGGCAGAGGCCAGTGGACCTCTGTGAGTTCAAGGCCAGCATGGTCTACATAGTGAGTTCTAGCCAGCTGTGGCTACAGGGAGACCCTATCTCAAAAAGACCAAAAAAAGAAAAAAAAAGTTTATTAAACATCCAAAATTTTCAGGATATAGCTCAGTAGTGTGCTTGTCTAGGTGCATTCGGTCCCTAACACCACAAACAAACCCATATGCTTGACTTTGCTTTTTCTTTATGTTTCAGGCAGCATTTTCATTAACTAAACTTCTTGAAGCTACATCTGCAGTGTCAGCTCAGGTGGAAGAGCTCACTGTGAAATGTACAGAAAATGCACGTTTCCTTAAAACCTGGCGAGACCTCTTGAAAGAAGGCTATGAGTCTTTGAAATCCGACAACTGATTTGGTCTGCTTAGTGACTCAGTGACTCACACAGAAGATACTTGCACATGGATCACATTTACTGGATGACCTCTTTCCAGACATTTATACTCAGAATGAAAATTTTCTTGGTTATCTTTTATGAAAGCAAAATACTGAAGGGGTGTGTGTATGAGTGTGAGAGAGATGTGACAGTATTTACCTTTAAATACTTTTGTACAATCATTTATGATAGTTACTTTTGTCAGTAAAAGATTATTTTAAGCTGGGTGTGGTGGTATGTGCCTTTAATCCCAGCACTCAGGAGGCAAAGGCAGGTGGATCTCTGAGCTCAAAGCCAGCCTGGTCTCCATAGTGAATCTAGGCCAGCTGTGGCTACAGGGAGACCCTGTCTCAAAAAGACCAAAAAAATTGATTTTAATAGTTCCTCAGTGCAGACAAATTATTATTTGTTTTGCAAGAAGATGCCAAGAATGGCAGAGTTTGGAATTGAGCTTCTTTTTATCCCCCAGGAGAATGATGAAGGCTACAATTGGGGAGCTGGTTCCATCGGACATGTTCTCTGAAACCAGATTTATTCTTCCACACCTGAAGCCACGGCACGCAACACCCACTAAGTGTCTGTTGAATAAAAGACGTAGTAAACATAATTAAAAGCTGCTTTTACTTCTTATTTTTTAGGATGAAGACTAATTGTTTCTGTAAAAAAATATATATATATGAATCTAAACTTCATTGATTTGAAGGAGAAAAATACTCTATTTTTTATGGGAATTTAAACTTGTTTCCTTTTTTGCAACTGTTGGTGTGTACCATAACACCCAGCACGGGGATTTGAATTTTGGTGATTATATAAAAAATACATATGGTAAATATTTTTTCCTGTTTTATGATTCTGTTTTTAAACTTTGTTTCAGAAAATGAAAATTTGTCTAGAAAGAATACATTTTTTTCCACTATTTATTTCTGTACTTAACTGTTTTCACAGTTAATATTGGTCAGAGTTGGGGTTTTCTATGTTTGATTGCTATCTTTGAAATACCTTATCAGATTTATAACTGTGCGCTATTACTTTTGGAACTTTGCAAGTTATTTACACAATAATTCTAAAGTTAGTGTCTAGTGCATCACATTTAAATGTAATGATTTTCCTGTCCCTTCACCTTAGTGCTGCTGTTCCATTTTTACCTGCACTGTATGTTAACGTGATTTGTGGTTTGTGCCATGTGTCATCACAGTCATATGCTTCCATACATATGATTTAGGTATCTTTGATGTGGTGTCTTGGTAAATATGTTGATGTAAACAGAATTGTATTCTAAAGCCCCACAGTGGAGCTGTGACAAGGGACAAATGGATGGGCAAAGACTGGTTTTTCTTTAGCTTATTCATAGTTTTGTTTGTTTTTTTTTTTTTGCTAAAGATCACACAGTGTGAGTTCTGTACCAAAGAGATACTTACTTCAGTATGAGAGAAATACTTTTCTTATCTATTAATGAAAATTGAAGTTTTTAAGATGTATAAAATTAAATGTATAAAGGCAAATTTCTGTTTCATTGGTTTCATTATTTAAAACTTTATGATGTATTTCTGTAGGAATGATTTACAATATGGACAGAATCTAAATAATGACTTTTGCTTAAACTTGCACCAAAAAGTTACTCTTTATAATGTAAATAAGCTCAGAGCTATGTGCTCATCTTGTGACCCGGGCTATGACCTTGATCCCTTGCAACCTTACTTTGCCTTCCACCCAAGGTAGTGAATGAATGTGGGTGTGCTTGAATTAAGGTATCAAAGCACTGGAGCAGTGAGAGTTGAGAAGTATGCTTGACACTGAGATATTTTAGGGTTAGGGATCAAAGGGCAAGATACTCTGGTAAGGGTAGATCTAAGCTTGTAGTTCCCCAGTTCATGTTGGAGAGACTGAATAAAAGTATGGGTGAGACCTGGCTGGGGAGCACAGTTCTGTGGGAGTTCTAAAGGAACAAACTCTCTTGGCCTTAAATGCTGAGTCAGACTGATTATTTAGGTCTAACTAATACAGGCGTATTTCAAACATGCAGAAAAATGAATGATTTAAAAAAATCTTTTTTTGTTTGTTTGTTTTTTGGTCTTTTTGAGACAGGGTCTCCCTGTAGCTCCAACTGGCCTGGAACTTGCTATGTAGACCAGGTTGGCCTTCACAGAGATCCGCCTGCCTTTGCCTCCCCAGTGCTGGGATTAAAGGCATACACCACCAAGAATAGTTAATATTTGTAATTTGTGATGGTTTTATCTCCTGCTCCCCAAAATCATGCTGAGCATTGAGCCCAGGACCTTGTCCATGCTAAGCTAGCACTCTCCCCCAGAGCTACATCCTCAGCCCCATGGTTTATACTTAAAAAAAAAAAAAATTTTATTATATTTATTTTATGTGTATGAGTATATTGCCTGCATGTATATGAGTGCACCTGCATCGTGCAATGCCATGGAGATCAGAAGAGGGCTTCAGATTCCCCTGGAACTGGAGTTAAGGACGGTTCGTAGCCGCCATGTGGGTGCTGGGAATCAAACCTGGGTCCGCTGCAAGAGCAGTCAGTGCTCTTAACCACTGAGCCATCTCTCCAGCCCCAGTTTGTACTTTTATGTTTTTTTTTACACAAGTAAATTTTTAATTTTTTGAGACAAGGTCTTAGGTAGCATAGACTAACCTTGAACTTGCTGTACAGATGAGGATGACATTGAATTCCTCTGCCTCCACTTCTCAAGTGCTAGGATGAAAAAATTATGCTTTATTTTTTATGCAGTGTTTTGTGAGAAAGGTTGAAGATAAATTTTTAAAATTTTTATTTTACATTTATGAGTGTTATGCCTGCATGTATGTAAGTGCATCTGTGTCATGCAGTACCCAGGGAGGACAGAAGAGGTTGTCAGATCCTCTGGAACTGGGTGGTTGTTAGCTGCCATTTGGGTGCTGGGATTCTAACCCCAGTCTTCTGCAAGAACAACTAGTGCTGTTAACCACTGAGCCATCTCTCCAGCCCCCGAGGCTAAATATTTTCTTAAAGACAAGATTTTTGTTTTGTTTTGAGACAGGGTCTCACTGTGTATTACTGGCTGGCCTGGAACTCAGATATATATAGACCAGTCTGGCCTTGAACTCAGAGATCCTCTTGCCTATGCCTCCCAAGTACTGGGATCAGAGGTGTGTACCACCATGCCTGGCAAAGTCTTAGATGTTTTATAACTAAGCAAGTACCTCATTATAAACTTTACATACTCTTTAGAAGAAAATTTAATATTGTAATTGATAAGAACTTAAAAATTTTTTTATGTGTATGAGTGTTTTTCTTGCATGTATATAAATGTACTATTTGAGTGCAATGCTCACAGAAT